ATCCATCCATCCATCCATCCATCCATCCATCCATCCATCCATCCCTGTGATCTAGAATTCTCTTTCATGTGAAGTCCATTTGACTTGTACATTGTCTGGTTCTGGTTATTTAGCTCAACTGCTATTTCAGAAAGCATTTGGGACCAGTTCATTACTTGATGGGCATATTTTGGGATGGGCTTTTTTCATGGTTCTTTGCTATTTTATGTTCTCATTTATATGGTTTCTTTTTTTTATATTTGTTAGCTTCCTTTGGATTGCTTTTGGGCAGTTTTAAGTAAATATAGAGAAGATAATGTAAACGAGGAGGAAAAATGAACAAAGAAACAGCTTCTGCAAATTACACTTTGCTAATATATTGCACTTTTCATACCAGTCCAATCCCACTCAGAAATAAAATCCATTTATTTAAATGAGGCTTACTGCCAGGGAAGTGTCCATAGGAATATAATCTAAAGCTAATTTTGATGCATAATTGTGTTTATATACTGCTTTATTAACATAGATTTCTTGGTACAGTTACTTTGATGAAAAGTTTAATGAACAGAGAATAAATAACAGCCATCCCAGTTCTACCTTTTAACTCTTGAGTCCTACCACCTTTGCTGCTGCTTTACTATATTACTCAATTATTGTTTTAATTCCTGATCTGCTGCGCTGAGGGCATAATTTATCATGTAGTGTCTGTTTTCAATAGTCTATTTCCTTATAAAACAAAAAGGAGAGATTAAAAGATGGATAAACAAGGGTTTAGACAAGAGTTCACATGGCTTTTTTGTCTAAAAATTGGTTTGTAACACTGCCTTGACTGAATGAAGGTAATGGCAGTAGAAAGTACTTCTATAAAATCATCTATAAAGTTGCAGATCCATCACTACACATATAATAAGTGGAATCTGAAATTTACCTATGTCGATAGGACCATTACAAGTCATGAAATGGGGGTCAAGAGATCATGAAGAGTTTTATAGAACCTAAACAATTACATGTTATTTTGAGAAGGTTTAATTGCAATACTAAGAGTTGTTCCTTTTTATGATCATCACAACTATCCCTGTTTTTTCTGCAGTTTAAAAAGTATCAGCACCAGCATTCTATACAGGAAGGGAAAATTATACTTTCTGACCCTGGAACTTACATCCTCAGAAAACAGTTTCCTCCAAGTAGTAGATAAAGCTTTATTAATACATCAAAACTATGATTGTTTATCAACAAGGTAGCTCCGTTAATATAAAACAATCTTTTTTCCCCTCTGTTGCTTTTTCACTTAATAAAGGTACATTATGTATTTTCCCCAAAGATGGACATGGGTCTGAGTAATGACTGGGATGGTTTAATTTTCAGACACTGGGAACAACAAATCTTTATTTCTTTTTTCCAGCAGCTTTTACAAAAATCTTAGGTGTAACCTGAAACGATGTCAGTACCTGATAGGGTCTAATTCCATCAAGATTGTAACTAAAGCAAGCCTATGGCTTGAGCATCCTCCTTCTCGGTTTCCCCGTTTTATTTACCATCTTGCTTAAAGAAGAGGTATGGAGAAATCAAAAATTTACAGATGAATTATGTGGGTTAGTATAAGGGTAGGGCCTTAAAAGGATTATGGAATTTTTACCATAGCAAAATCTGGATCTAGAATTTTATGCATAGCCATTGAATCCTATAGCATATAATTCAATTTTCTTACTAAACTTAGCTTCATATTTGTATTTTTCTAATGCTACATGGAAAATCCGAGATACCCATATATAGTATGTTTTAAGCATACATAAAATATTAAGTACATTTAAATTTGCTTACAGAATTCAACAGATTAATAAATATTTTAAAGAATGAAGCAAGTGACTTCAACACACTGTTCAATCAACACACTGTTGATCAGGCTGGTGAATTTACTATTGCCATTATTAATCTATCCAGTGCACAGCTTATTTCACATTCTTTACAAAGATATATTAACTTCAAAGTCTGTTTCAAAAGAAATGAAGGGAGCTCCAGTTTAGTCCACCAGTCACTAGCAGGGAAGTCTAAATATCCATGCAGTTTAGCAAAGATGCGAAGAATCTTTAATCTATTGGCGAAGAGCAGAAGGTCATCTTCAGCCACGTACTTTGGCCATGGATGGTGTTCAGCAAGTGGCTTTAAGAAAAGAGAAAGAAAGTTAATGCAGTGTCCAAAGTGCACACCCCTGACTTGCAGAAATTCAATGAGTTGTATAGGAATGAAAGCGCTGTGTTTATTGATTTAAATCATATAAAATGGCTATACAGATTAATTGATGAAGTTGTAGAAAACTATAATTTGATCAATTTTGAATAAACCTTTAATTTTCTTATTTCCCTAAAGGTTTTCTATTCACCCAAAACAGTTCCATGTCTTCCTTAATTGTGACTAATAAGGACAGACAAACATTAGTTTCTCTAACATGAAGTACCTCCACTTTGGTTCCTACATTGATTTTTGCTTGTTTTCCCATTGCAAGAAAAGAAATGGTGATTTTATCTTGCCCAAGTATCCTGACACCAACATTAAGGTTCAAGGACAGAAATATTGGTTTAAATGCTACACGGGGATTGTGCTTCTGTAGATTGTTGGGCCAAATCCATGTTTTCACTTTGTTGCCAGCTTGATCTGAGTAATGTCCTCCTCGAATAGTAATATTTATCCTAAAAGGGAGAAAAATAAACTGACTGTATATTTGAACTGCAAATCTTAACATATCCTATATAAAGATTATGAAGACAGGTTCAGCTCAGATATGGTCTACATGGTTCACTTGCCTTATCATCCCAAGCAACTCTTAGAGTCACTGTGTCCACAGCAAAAAAAAAGGGGGGGAGGGGCTGCAATATGTAATTGTTTCCAGAATGGCAACCAAGTTAGTCCATTTTAATGAAAACAATGAAGTTTCTATTTGTTACAGCATAAGTTTATGAATGTTTAGTTGATAAGATGTATGAAGTAGTCTAAATATGCATGCACATGATAGCAGGGGAAAGTGAATTATAAACTGAGGTCAGTGGACAATAAAATGCAAGCTATCTAGGATGTCATTCACAAAAACAGTTGCTGCAGTTAACAGAGTTAACAGAAATCATATTAAGCTGCTTTTTGTAAACCATGGTTTATGCATTGGCATTATGTGTGAACTGAGAAAACTGAATTAACATGCTGCCTTCTCTGTGTCAACAGCAGTAAAGCATATGTGATGTGTTGGCAATCGCATTTCAGAAATGGTTTGCAAATTTGTAATTTTTGCAATTTCAAGGAAAAAAATAGTAAATTTATCAGAAAACTACAGTATGATGTATTTACCATCTATCACTTAGAAATAGTTGCATTTTGTACAACTTGAGCATGGTACCAATCACAATAGGGTGTATTTAGTAACACTGCATATGTTGAAGCATTGGAAATCCTATCCACTAAATATGAAATATTTAAATATGAAATACAAAATCTAGAGCAAAAAATGAAACACTTTCTCTAATTAAAATTAACTTACCATACAATTTTGTTTGGATGATAACAAGTTCCTTTTCCACAAGAGTCAAATATTGCTTGGATTTCAGCCTTCTCATGCTTATCTTCTTGGACTATACAAATGTACCCTGCATTTTCATTCTTCTGTATAACAATAATTGCCAGATTTCCAGATGGATAGCTGTACATGTAGATAAGGTCTTTTCCTCCACCCTTTTACTTGCTTAGGCATGCTATCTCAGATGTATGAATGGTATAGTGAATTTCTGACTGGGGGAGGGGGAAGAATCTTCTTCTCCCATACATTACCTGCACAAATTCATGCATTGTGTTCTGTTTTATAGATATAGCATGAATCTTCCCTGACAAACAGAAATAGTCTTAAACAGAATGGATTTAGCTACCTTAGAGATAGAACTTGCATTATAGTTCTGTCCCAATATCAAAACCAACTCCCTGATTTTGCAGTGGTACAGCAGTATGGATGATACTATACCAGGAAAATGATACCTTCTCCAGAGCAGTGGTAGCTTATAAAACAATCCTTTGTATGGCTAGAAACCCAAGTTTGCCAAGATTTTGATTACAGACTGGCATGTATAACAGCTTCCCAGGTTGATTCAAGGGGCCGATCTTGGTCTTGTAAATCTCTTAACGGCTCGATCCTGCAGAACTGTAATACTGCAAGGGACCTGAAATATCACCTAGTCCAGCCTTTCCCAACTTGCCCTCTCCTTTGGATGCATGAAGTCCAACTTCCAGGACCTTCAGCCATGTTAGGTGGGGAATTCTGGGAAATGAACTCAACAAATCTGGATGGCTCTAATGTTGAAAAAGACTAATCTAATAAATTCTACTGCCTAAATCATGAATTAAGCTCTGGTGAGACACAGTGCAAATCTGCCTTAGAGATAAGACCACCTTTAAATGCCCTTTTCCATTTTTTGGCATCAGTAAAGGTTGTGAGTGGCTTTATGAGAGC